GGGATGAGTTCTACCCCTTTAAGACTGGGGATGAGTTCTACCCCTTTCAACTTCCTTTGAAAGCATTTTAATGTAGAATTCTTGCAGCAATAGCACTTAGCAATAGTACTTAGACTTACATACCACTTCACAGTACTTTTATAGCCCTCTCTTAAGTGGTTTATAGAGTTAGCATCTTACCCCCCGAAAAGCTGGATCCTCATTTTACCCACCTCAGAAGGATGGAAGGCTGAGTTAACCTTGAGCCTGGTGGGATTTGAACTGCCAAATTGCAGGCAGCAGAAGTAGCCTGCAGTACTGCACTGTAACCACCGCGCCACCAAGACTCATAGATAACCTATCGGTCTCATTTCTAGACGCGCCTCCAAGCTGTGTTGGATGAGTTCAAACAACAGGAAGATCGAGAGAAGCAGCAGGTAAGATTTTGGCCATTTTGATCAATTCTGAGTAGAAAGAAGGCTTTTAGAATCCACACGGTGCAGCAATTTTACCTGGGATACACGTTCAAAGTACAGAGGTGTAACATTCACCAGTAGGCTAGCCTGGGGAAATATTTGCAGAGCACTAAGTGGTTACCGAGCCTTTGACTTATAAGTTACTAGCTCTGAACTGCTTGAAACTTCCATCCATTTTGCACGTATGAGTGGCGAATCATCAGAGCAACTTCATAGTTACAAGTGAGTGTTGCTTGGCTGAGCTGGCTGGGATTTAGGGGGTCATTTGCTTGCTATATATAACCCTCTTAGAATAGATCCTTTTTAAAAAAAAATAAGATATTGCGGAGACCCTGTTTTGTGAATTAGGCAATTTACAAACGCAATTGCTCCTGAGTTGTTGTTTTTAGCAGTTCAGACTAGCTGTGACGATGGCTGAGAAGTCCATGAGGAGATTTTCCTGTGGAGATTCTCAATCATCCAGGTCATGGTTGTCTCAAAGGTGCTTTTCCAAGAGGCAACTGGACTTACTTATTCTCTGAAGACATTTCGCAAGAAGCTTCTTCAGCTCTGACAGGATGGTGGGAATGGAAGGATTTATATTCCTTGCAGACAGCTGGTCATTTGCATCCTTTTAGCGAGTCATTGAGGCCACTTGGAGGTTTATCTGTGTCCTCAGGGTCACCTGAGTGGTGCAAATGGAGCCTTCTTGGAACTGCTTGAAAGGACTGTGTTGTAGACCGTAGACAGATAATGTCCTATCCCTCCCACTTTGTTGAGGGAAGGCTGTTCAATTTTGACATCGATGCCCTCTTTGACTCCTCTTTCCAACCAGCTACTTTCTCTATATCCAGAATGTGAACTTTGCTGTCTTAAGTGCTGAATCTTGTCCTGATGGTATGTTGTGCCATGCACTGGAGGACAAACCTATCAGGACAAGATTCAGCAACCATGGGATTGTTTGCATTGTCTACACAGCCCTGAGGAAATCAAACAAAGGTCATGACTTTAGGAGAATGCCTTGACATTTCCCTTCTTCATTGCTACGTTCCCCAAATCTCTGCACAGAAAAAAACCTTCCATTCATGTCCTCCCACCCAGGCCCATTTGGGATGAAACTATGAATCTAGTGAGAACACTCTTTGTAAAACGAGAGGAAAGGATTCTCCTACAGGTTGGGAATAATAGGAAAGATTGTCTGCCTAGGGGAAACTGATCCCTGATCTCTCTATCTGTAGGCAGACAATCTTTCCTATTATTCCCAACCTGTAGGATAATCCGTTCCTCTCGTTTTATAAAGATCCTTGGGTCTTTATTTGAAGAAGGATGGGACTGATCATTTAACAATCTTTTGTCCTCCCATTTTCCCTTCTTGCCCTGCAGCTGACATCTCTTCAAGAGCAGCTAGAAGCGCTGATGGAAAAATGAACCGATAAAACTCCTGAGAAACTCAGGTGTCGACAAAGAAGTTCCTTTTTTGGTGCCGCGGCCTGCAGATTCTTCAGGGGAGACTCAACATAACTTCTGAGCCGATGAGCAAATCCCTTGCAGAAATCTGGAGAAACATCTAGCCAGGCCCCAGGAGTTGTGGCTTACAAATACCACAGGTAGAACATTGCAGAAAACGTGAATGTTTTGGAAAGAATAGAATTTCCTGGAAGATAGCCACAAAAACAGTGTTCATTGCTGAGAGCAAAATTCACTTCAGGACAATCTTTGGTTCTTTTCCAGCTCTGCATCTTGTTTGTTTTCTGATGAGCCAGTGTTGCAATGTTTTAAGTAGCATGAAATCCATTCTTTCTGGCATGAGGGATGATAAACACTCTGCATCTTTGTAAATACTGATGGTGAGAGAAAAATAGTTTGCCTCCTAACATTCCCCTTTACACATTCTTCTTTTTGTCTTCAAGAGTGTTGTGAAATAAAAACAAAGTTTTCCGCGTATGCTGTATGTTATCTCGAGTATATCTCACAGGTTATCTGATGCTCTTCAAGTATATTGGATATAATGGCCCAAACACCTTAGCAATCATTCTCACAACTGCTCCAATTTCAAAAATGGATAGTGGCAAAAAATTTCCTTAGCAAAGTTTTTACAATCGGGGGATTTTTATTCCTGAGAATTCTGTTTGTGATAAGAGTCCTTGTGTTAGGGCACCTCTTTGGTGATTGCCAATCTCTCGAAAAGGATTTGTTCACATGAGAATTAGAATGTACAAAGTTTAGGCTTAAATATAGATACAAAATATGGAAAAATCAGAATAGCCTAAAAATACAATGAAAGGGGAGGAAGAATTAGGATTAGTTTGTCTAAGATGTTCCATCATAGGAAATTTTTTGCCTTGTCTAATACAAATGTATGGCTCAACATACAGGTTAGGGTTAACGGAGCCACAATCTCCCTGTCAGCTTTTCATCTTTCTCCTTGGATTCAGACTCCGACAGGGGCATGACACACCTTTTGTTTTTAGCTCGATCTAATTTTAAAATTTTAAGATGGCAAATCCTGCATTAACCTGACTGAAAGGAGATTAGCGAACGTTAAAACTTCTGAGCCCTTGAAGAGATGTTCTCAGCCTCTGAAAATGAGTCCTTCACGCTGTGAGGAGCTTCTGGATAGTTGTCTAGAATCAGTTGCAACCGTTCGGACATCTGTTGCGGCACGCAGGTAATAAATATTTGGAAATTAGGTAGGTTGGAGTATCCTGTTGTGTAAAGAGAAGAATTGCTTTCACCCAGATTTGAAGGAAAGGAGAACGCAAAAAATTACCACATAGTTATGGAAGAAACCTACCTCCTAAACGTGGAAGGAGTCAAGAAGAAGATTTTGCATGGAGGTTATGGGAAACTGCCTCATTTTCAAGATGGGAGCAAGGTAAATGTCTACCTGCACTAACTAGCAATGTTGAGTTTAAGCCATAATAGCTACAGAGCTGCGTTTTTTTTTTTTTTTTGAGAGCAGCCCATTTGTTTGGAATGCACCGTTTGCAGTGGAATGCCTCTCTGGAAATATTCTTTATTTTTTCTCAACCTAGATTGTGTTTTTTTAAACCTTTAATCTTTCTACCTTTCCTATTTTTCTTCTATGTCTTTTTCCTCATTTCTCTTACATTTCTTTCTGTTTAGCTTTTAAGTTTACACAAATTATTTTAAGGAAAACAATGCTTGCATAGACTAGAGATAGCAATAGCACTTAGACTTGTATACCAATTCACAGTGCTTTACAGCCCTCTCTAAGTGGTTTACAGAGTCAGCCTATGGCCTCCAACTATTTGAGTCCTCAGATACCTAGATAGATGATAGACATATAGACACACAGCCAGGCAGGCAGACAGACATCAATTCCAGGTTCTCTTATCTGTAGACCCAGCGGTAGACCCAGAACTCAATGCTGTGACTCCTAAACTTGGAGACTGACTCCAACAAGGCAGAATCATTAAACTAAAAAAATGACACACACACATACTATTCAGCAGGTTCCGACCAGTTCTGGAGAACCGGTAGCGGAAATTTTGAGTAGTTTGGAGAACCAGCCAATCCCACCTCTGACTGGCCCCGCCCCCATCTATTCTCTGCCTCCCAAATCCCAGCTGATTGGCTGGGTCTCCTTTGGTTGCCCTGCACAGGAGAACGGAGCTGGAAAGCAGGTTAGTGGGGTGGGGAGAAAATGGAGATTTTACAGTATCCTTCCCAGAAAAGGGGAGGGAATGGGGATTTTGCAGTATCCTTCCCCTGCCACAAACACCAAGCCATACCCACAGAACCAGTAATTAAAATTTTTGAATCCCATCACTGGTCAGGATGGATTAAGACTTACATGTTGTGTGTTTACGGGCCGAGGCCATCCACTCATTGCTGCAGAATGGAGAATAAGTTACGATCAAGATTCCATCTAGCAAGAAAAAGCTGCTAAACATTGGAAGCAAAGATCTATATTTAAAGCCAGGCAGATTCCCCCTTCACCAGGAGTCACTGGAATCTTCCTCCGATGCAGATTACCTTCCACTTCCAGACCCTGAAAGACGATTTTGAGCGGACAGTGATCGATGACAGCCGGAATAGTGGGGTTCCCATGGAGATCATCGTGGGGAAGATGTTCAAAATCGAAGTATGGGAGACGTTGCTGACCTCCATGAGAATCAACGAGGTGGCCGAATTCTGGTGCGACGCTATAGTGAGTGTTACTAAGATGAAGCTTAGGTTTGAATGGACAGGGCTACCTGGAGATACGGTGATCAGGAGTATCTTCAGGTAAAAAGGGGGAGGGATAAAATGGCTCAATGGCTAAAGACACTGAGCTTGTCAGCTGGCCGTCAGCCCAGTTCAAGTTTTGGGGGGTTTGAGGATGTAACAACAGAGTCAAGTAGTAAGTTCCAGGCGTTGACCAGTTTGTTGTTGAAGTCGTATTTTCTGCTATCGAGTTTGGAGCGGTGTACTTTTGAGTTTGTATCTATTGTTTGCCCATGTGTTATTGTGGTTGAAGCCGAAGTAGTCATTGATGGGTAGGACATTGTAGCAGACAATTTTGTGTACTAAGCTTAAGTCAGACCGTGGGCGGTATAGTTCTAAGTTGTCTAGATCCAAAATTTCCAACCTGCACAAGGTTTTCTTTTGCGAGCTGAGGAGTGGAGTGCTCTTCTCGTGAAATACCTCTGGACTTGTTCAATTGTATTATTGTCCATTATACAGTGTGGATTCCAGGCAGATGAGCTGTATTCGAGAATTGATCTAGCACGAATCTTATCTGGGGATAATGCCCTAGAGCAGGCATATGTATACAATTCAACTTCTGTGTTCTGCATGACTCTTTCTTGCCTGCAATAAACATCTTCTGTAGCTCTGTCATATCCATAAAACTCCTGTGATGAGCTCCTGTGGAGAGTCAAGATTTATTGTGCCCCATGTATTGTCCATCTTTGACCGTCGGTTCTTATATATTTCATTTTAATTGTGATTGCTTTTTATGTGGTGACCCACCAAAGGCCTGAATGCAATTGCTGCGGGATGTAATACATATATAATATAAATAATAAATAACACCTGACACTTGAGGGATTAGACGGCGATCTTCAGAATAAGAATGAATATAGGCAAAAAGTTCCTTTGTCATCTAAGGATTGTTGGAGGTGGTAGGGTTGAAGGAAAGGGTTAGTGAATCCATGGTCCTCCCGCTTTCTTTCAAAGCTTAAACTCCCCACAAATTTAGAAGAGAGCTTTCTTTTTCTGCTGCTGTCTGAGGTCACCTCCCTTCCGATGTTCCTCCTTTATTGTATCTTCTGCTTCTTTACTATCTGTGAGGAATTTGATCTAATCTGTCACCCGTCTGTGTTTTCAGCATACAGGAATGTATGCTTTGGTCTCCAAAGGCTTGAGGGAAATTGCGGAGGGCAAAGATCCTCTCCACAGACTGCATCACCACTGTGGAATGGGCAACATGTTTGACTATCACAGCACCGGCTACGAAGATCTGGACGAACTACAGAGGACACCTCAGCCCCTCATCTTCATCATGGAGCTATTCAAAGTGAGTTCACTTCCGAAAGGTATTTTGAGCTCTTCTGCATTAGTGTTTCTCCACCTGGGCAACCTTAAGGTGTGTGGACCTTCATATGTAATAATCTGTGAAACTGGGCATGGCTAGTCTAGTGAAGAGAAGGACCAAGGGAGATATGATAGCCCTGTTCCAATATTTGAGGGGCTGCCACAGAGAGGAGAGGGGTCAAGCGATTTCCCCAAAGCACCTGAAGGCTAGACAAAGGATAATGGATGGAAACTGATCAAGGAGAGGTTCAATCTAAAAACAAGGAGAAATTTTCTGACAGTGAGAACCATCAACCCATGGAACGGAAGCTGCCTTCGGAAGTTGTGGAAGCTTCATCACTGGAAGCTTTCAAGAAGAGACTGGGCTGCCATCTGTCAGAAATGGTGTAGGTTCTCCTACTTGGGTGGGGTGGTGGTGGTGGATCAGATGACCTACAAGGTCCCTTCCAATTGTGTTAATCTGTTAATTAATTTGTTAATTTTCCCTATGCTGGATTCCATAGCATCTCTTCTTACATCCTTACCTTGATTTTAAGTAGCTTCCCTGGTGATTTACATTTCAAAATGGATTGGTTTGCTGTTCTATCAGGTTAGCTTGCTCTGACAGGTAGCTGAAGAACACAGTGGGTTGTCAATTGGATAAGCAGAATTTACATCTCCCTGTTGCTTTCCTGGTTTCTCAAGGTAGAGGACCCTTCTTCCTACAAAAGAGACACATGGGCCATGAGCAGCGATGAGAAGTTGGCTGCTGTGCCAAAATTACACACGGAGGGCAACCGGCTGGTTTTGTCCAGGAAATTCAAGGAAGCCGCAGAGAAGTATCAGGAAGCTGTCATCTGTTTGCGCAATCTCCAGGTTAAGGTGAGAAATGGATGGAAGAAGAGGTACTTCTGCGTTGGATGTTAAGACCTTGGGCACAGAGCCTTTTGGTCGCTGTTCTTCTGGCTTACATTCTCAAGGGAAAGTTTCTTTAGGAGGTGCTTAGTAGCACCTCAGATATTAGATACTGTTCTGTTATGTCTCACCTGTATCCACAGGTGAGAATACAAAGTTCCAGAGTTCAAATATTCAAGCAAAACAAAACCAGACCCAAAAGAGTTAACTGCACTGTTTTCCCAGTCCTTGGCAGTCTTCCCGGAATCTGTCTGGCAATTCAGAATTGTCCATAAATCACAACGGCCGCTTCAAATGTATTCTTTTGAATCCACAAAGCACTTTGCTCCAAGCAAAGATTGAGAGTCAGCACTCCTCCTTAAATCCCCTGGATGGGCGTGTCAGTCTCTCTAATCAATGCCTGGCTGGACGTCTCCTTTCAGATTGTGATTGACGTTTCAATCTTCTCCTAGTTCTAGCGTCAAGCCAACATCCGTCAGTCTCTTCCTCGCTCGAAGCCTCTGGCTCATTTTGTGGATCAGCTGCTGGCATGAACGAAGTCGAAGGTTCCGGAGAGGACTGTCTCTCCGACACTCTCTCATCCTCCTGGCTCACATCTGTGTCCTCTGATAATTCAGACTCCACATTCACAGCAGGCTCAAACCTTCCATCTTCAGAGGCATCAGAGTCAAAACTCCCAGCAGGGTCAATCCTTCCAGTCACAACACTGTTCTGACTTAGCTCCCCAAACATGACAAACCCTCTGAAGTGAACTCAAAGATTTCTTTCATTAGTAGTGCCGACAGTCCTGGCAAAAAGTTTCTCTCTCACCACAGGCTAACAAGTCTGGCCAAAAAATGAACAGTTGTCTGCCACACCTATTCATCTCCATCTCCCCTTTTATCCCCAGAGCTAGGATGGGGCTTTGCTAGCAGCAGTGGCTCTTCCATCCCAAGGACCGGCCCATAGATTTCCACTGCTCTCCTCTCCTCTGCCTTCTGCGCATCCATGTGTCAGGCACTGGAACCAGCTGTTCCTCCTCTTCCTCATCAGCTACCTCCAGACCTAGGGGTCTTGACTCTCTATCTGAGGGCTGATGGATGGCCCAGGCTCTGCCACTGTCTCTGCTCCATTCCCTCTTCCCCCTTGGAGGTCTCAGGTTGCCTTGATGCTGACCCGGATTCCCACGCCGCCTCCTCTTCTGATTCAGCTGCTGAAGGGGCCGGCGTCTGACAGGCCACATACTTTCTCCACCAGCATCTGTAAGAACATAGTTCTGGATAAATGGTCACAGTTTCTCTAGATCAGGGGTGTCCAACCTTGGCAACTTTAAGACTTGTGGACTTCAACTC